GCGCCATATTAATAATCTATGCTCATACATATAGCCAGCCCATTAATTCGAACTTCTATTATTATAAAAATGAGAATATCTTTTTTCCTAAATAGCAATTATTAATAATTTTTCAAACTGTACCTTATTTTGGATATGGGGTATCTTCAAAGGCTGAAAATAAAAATTAGAATAAAAATAATTAAAAAATTCGTTTTTGATATTTAGGGAAATTTTAGTTATTTAAAGAATCCATAAACTGCACGAATAATTGAGCAAACTCCATAAAGCAGGCAAAAACTGAAATATGTACATAATTGTGCATAACAAAAACTGAAAATATTTAAAATCGAAGTTTCCAACATTTAGATAATTAATTTACTCTTTTTTTTGATAGGTACTAGATGTGTTAAGAAAAAATTCTGTTACTTAAAGATAAAACAATGAATCCTTGTATTATACCGACCCCTGTAGAAGATGTTGATGGTGATCAAAGGTGGATGAGTATTGTAAGGAAATTCAAGTAATTTTAAGAATTTTTTAAACATTTTCTGCATTTAAGCACAATCGGTTTCTTTCTGAAACTCGTGAAAAAGATCCTGATGTAATATTTATCGGAGACTCCATTCTTCAAGCTCTTCAACATACAGATTTATGGAATGAATTGTTTGCACCTTTGCACTGTTTAAATTTTGGAATTCACCGAGACAAAATACAAAATGTACTTTGGAGAATAAAAAATGGAGAATTAGATAATGTTAAACCTAAGGTACTATTAATTTCATGAGGACTTGCATGAGTTAATGTAGATGTTTAAGGTCATTGTGCTACATGTAGGAACAAATAATCATATTAATACCCCCGAGCAAATAGTTGAGGGCATAATTGAAACAATTCATGTTATTCAAGAAAAGCAACCAGGAATTTATATTGTAGTACCGGTAAGTAAACAGTTTGAAATGTTGCAATGGTTATTTTTGTTCTCAGTTATATAAGTTGAATACATATTTTAGTATTAGATTTTGCATTACAATTGTTCGTTTGGAAGTTATAACATTGCTCTCATGATTTAGATATATATAGGGAATGTTTTATATGCATTTACTAGTAAAATCTAGCAACAAACTTAATACAAAATGAAATTGTTTTTAAAAATTGTAGTAATAATAGTAGAAGAATATTTAGTTTGAAATGGTGCATGACAGCAAAATATTATTTAAATTATTAATTAGTAATATAACTCAATTATAAAATTGATTGTATTATATTTATTGTTTTTAAATTATTTTGCTGTCTAGATGTTTATTTTGTAAAATGGCTTGGCATTTTATAAAATGTACAATAAACAACGCGGTTGCTAAATATTTAAATCACCATCAGTTTTACATTTTGACCAATTTTTTAAAACATATAAAATAAAGAATCGGACAATATTTGTTGACCTCCTATTGTTTTCTATCTGGCTAGTTATATTTTAGACAGCTGTGTGTTTTAAAGAGCGTCGAACAACGCATAGACGTTGTAAAATACCCAATTAATTTAGAAGAAATGCGACGTTAACAAATATTTAACAATTTGACCACATTTTATCAAACTTTTAGATGTTCTATAAAACTACTAACTTTGTAATCAGTCTGCGATATTGTCGATAACGTTTTTTTATTGCTACAGATGGGTTTTTATTTTTACGTTGGTTTTAATGTTTTTATTCAGGTGATAATTATATTTTATATCGCAGACTTTACTACCAAGAGGTCAACATCCAAACCCTTTAAGAGATCGTATATCACAAGTGAATGAACTTCTTAAATTGAAAGTTTCAGTGTTACCAAAAGTTGAAGTAGTTTCTATAGACAATGGGTTTATACAGCCCGACGGTACAATAAGTCATCATGATATGTTTGACTATTTATTGCTCACTAATGCTGGAAGCAGAAAAGCTTTCGAGCCAGTTTATGAACTACTTTTACAATTGTTAAATGAAGGGGAAGTAGAGAAGGACTTAACACCTTCTGAGTAAAGAAAATTGTAATCTTTTAAAGCGATCGAATACGTTATTATATGCGTTTATCTCGAAGAAATAATGAAATATATTGCTGTACTGGTTAAAACAGACTACGTTAAGATAAATAATACACCATTCTGAATATTTTTCCACAAAAAAAATACTAGAAATGATAAATTGGTAAAGGAATTTTCAATTATTATTAACATTACCTTCTAAATGAGGGTGTTGAGACATAGTTCTTCGAATTTTGACAGGGACTTCGCCTTGTTCAAATATTGAACTAAAACAAATTTTACGAATGTAATTTGCAACATTTTATTATATACCGTATTTGATTTGCTTACCGTCTCTTCTTTCTGTTTACATCAGATGGGAAAATCAAATTTCTGATGTATTCAATTATATNCGTTTTTAATGAAGAAAGCTTATTTTATATTCTTGCGTTTCCTAGTATTAATTAGAATATAAGGAGTTAGTTACATAATGCTGACAAAGGCTCATTTTTGTAAACATTCCAAATTGAAAGTGATTTTATACCGATATAAAATGTAAGATATAATACTTATTAAATATTTTCCAATCGCTTATTTTACGGCTATTTCTTCAACAGTTTTGCAATTTTCGTGTATATTATAGAATATGATGTATAAAAAATAATACACATTGAAAGTTTCAAAAAAATTAACTATATTTAGGGGTTGTTTATAAAGTACTTAAGGGTAGCATGTTAGCAGAAGGAGAGGTTTCATTTAAATTTTTTATTTAGAAGAGGGGAGAGGCTTATACTAATTTAATATAAATTTCTTAAACTAATTGTAATGGGTTTAAGTTGGGAGTGAGTATTCGTTTTTCGAAAAGCCCCTAAAAACTTCTTTTTCAAGAGGTGGCGTTTTGTGATTAAGGCCACAGAGGTACATACTTAACATATTTTATAAAACAAAATGCATTTCTTTTAGAAAAACTACATTTCGGATTGTAAGGATTCGAATGTATTAACATGAATGGTTCATGTATCGCCGCGTTATCATAATCTGGGATTTTTCGGCCTAAAGCGTGTTATACCCTTATTAACCGTTAGTATCTTGTGTAACCACCAAAAAGATTATAAACATACGACGTGTATATGTAGACACCGTCCAATATATCTTAATTTTTTGTGCTTGTCTTCTCAATGGTACAGTGATATTTATTATCAGGGGTGCCAATATAACTTTCTATTTACGGGAGAAATCACAAAGATCATGATTAGGGTTATAAATTTTGTTTATTGTTTAATATTCAATTGTCAATAAAAACAGATAAAGTCACGTTACTGTCAAGGGTTGCAGATATTTTTGGATGCAAAAAATATTGATAAATTAGATGGTTTGTAGATACAAAATTAGTTTTAATCAATTTTTTGCGAATTCAGTCCAAATTTTATTGTAACAGTTTAATCTTGGACGTACCTAACCTATTATTTTATATCAACGTCAAAAAATTACTGTTAATAAAATACATATTCACTACCACAAAGTAAATTAAATAATGCCACTCTTTGGAAAATCGCAAAAAAGTCCTGCAGATGTGGTAAAAGCTTTAAAGGAGGCTGTAAATTCGCTTGAGAAAGGAGATAAGAAAGCTGAGAAGGCTCAGGAAGATGTTAGCAAAAATCTTGTTTTAATCAAAAATATGCTGTATGGAACTTCAGATGCTGAACCACAAACTGATATAATAGTGGCCCAATTAGCTCAAGAGTTGTACAATAGCAATTTGCTTCTTCTACTGATACAAAATCTGAACCGTATTGATTTTGAGGGAAAGAAAGATGTAGCACAAGTGTTCAATAATATTTTGAGAAGGCAGATTGGAACTAGATCACCAACAGTTGAATATATATGTACAAAACCTGAAATATTATTTACCTTAATGACTGGGTCAGTATTACAAATAAAATTAAAGAAGTTGTAGTCAAATTAATATTCTTATAAATTTACAGATATGAACACCAAGAAATTGCATTAAATTGTGGGACAATGTTAAGGGAGTGTGCACGTTATGAGGCTTTAGCAAAAATCATGTTATATTCTGATGATTTCTATAACTTCTTCAAGTATGTGGAAGTATCTACTTTTGATATTGCATCAGATGCCTTTTCAACATTTAAGGTATTATTAATCTTTAGATTTGTATATTTTACTCTTGGTATGAAGGTAGATTTGTGTACACACTAATGGTTTTCAATGTTTTAGGAACTACTTACCCGCCACAAAATTTTGTGTGCTGACTTCTTAGAAACAAATTATGATAAAGTATTTAGTCATTACCAAAGGCTGTTAAATTCTGAAAATTATGTAACTCGTCGTCAAAGCCTTAAACTTTTGGGAGAGCTGCTTTTAGATAGACATAATTTTTCTGTAAGTAAATGATTAAAAGTTAATTATTAGATTTAAATAACAATAATATTCAAAATTTCATAGGTGATGACAAGATACATTTCAAATCCAGACAATCTTAAACTTATGATGAACATGTTAAAAGAGAGGTCTAGAAATATACAATTTGAAGCCTTCCATGTATTTAAAGTAAGTCAGAAGTGACATTGTGATTTAAATGGTCTTTTACATCATATTTTTTATTTGAAGGTATTTGTTGCAAATCCCAACAAACCTAAGCCCATTTTGGATATTCTTCTGAGGAATCAGGATAAGTTAGTTGAGTTTTTAATGAAATTCCACACTGATCGAGCCGAAGATGAACAATTTAATGATGAAAAGGCATATTTAATTCGACAAATTAAAGAACTAAGGCCCATAGCAGATCACTAACAAAAAATTAGTAAATAACTTATTTGATTTAATCATATAGTGTATTACTATATAGCTATTGCTCCTTACATTTGTTGTGACAGTTTTTCTTTTTTTTTAATGTCTGTTCTCTCATTTTATTCCCATATTAATTGTGCCTCAATTTTAATCCAAAATGGAATTTATTGCATTACAATTATCAATTTTTATTGTTTTTTGTTATATCTATTTAAGTTTTAAGTTTACCCAAAAACTATTTTATTTGTATTAAATAAATTATCAAAATTCTTCAAGTAAAACCCAAAAGATTTTGAGCATATATATAATTGGTAATAGTTGTTGTATTAAATAAATATGTTTGTTATGCTTAAGGGTATAAATTAAACATTATGCTTAATTTAGAAACACCTGTTTTTAAGAATAAAGAATATTCTAGACAAACTATCACCAAATATTTTAGTTTTATTAC